GTTCTCACCAGTATGCAGCATTCGGGATACCAGTGTCGTCATTATCAGCCAACAGCATCCAGCCTCAGCTTCGACGAGGACGCCTTCGCTGTGACCGTAGCCTCTCCTTCTCAGGCCTCGTGACTAGATGTTTGTATTTTAACTTAGTTGCTGCGTAACTTGCGCTTGCATGCACCAAAAAGAAGAAGAAGGGGAAAAAAAGAAGTAGTACGTTTATTGGACGAAGTATTGCTTTTTGTGGAATGCGCATCAGCCTTGTACGGAAGCGAGATTCCGATCTTGAACGCGTTCGATTGGTGAGCTTCCACCGTACCTCGTTGTTTCAAGAGAGCTGGCTTAACTTGCTGCCTTTTCATGCATCCGCTATTTCCTCCTCACTCTCCATCTTACGTTCTTCAAACTGCTTCTCCTTCGAAATCGCGATGCTGTCCACACTGATAGTAAATTTCCAGGCGAACTACCGCGCCGTCTACACGAGCCATGTCGACTTTATCTGCATGGAAATCAGCAACTGCCCGCACTGGGAGCTTGCGACATCAGTAGCCTGGGATGACCTTCCTACGGACAAGTTTGGGATTTTCTACGAGACAACTACATGCCGCACCGGTGGCAAATACTTCTACATCTCGGATGTAGCAAAAGAGAATGGCACGCACACGCTTAAAACCCCGATAGCAATCCGGTCCTTCATGGTTGGAACCACTAACGACTACATGCGTCGACCTTCTCGAATCGTCAACTCCTGTCCTGAAGAGCGGATCAGCCTCCAAAATGCCACCGAAACGTTGAATGGAGCGACGTCAAACTTCACCGAGGAGATCAAGTGGAAGGCCGACGACGCAGCTGAAGCTGGAGGTCTCTCCTCAAACTGGTCGGATGTTATGCCTTAAATTTGTCGAGCCTAGTTAACAGCGCCACTTTAGGTCTTAGCATAACAGACCAGAAAATTAAGACGGAGCTGTAGGAGGTTTGCGCTGCTCTTCTCTATTCGCTCATCATTTTCCAATTTGCGCGCTTCTGGGCCGGCTTCTATCCTTCGTTCGCCTTTTAAAATGTCGACTCCTACGCTGTCAATTCCCTATATGCGCATCAAGTTTGCAGAAGCGTCCGTCCTGACGTACACGAACCCGAAGCCTTGGAGGTGCATGAAGATCAGTGACTGCTCCTACTGGCACCTCACGAACACTGTCTACTGGAAGAATCTCGCTTCCAAGCAGTACGCCATATTCTACGAGAGCGACAATTGCGATACGGATGACAAGTATTACTTTGTTTCGGATATCAACAACCCTGCTGGCGGAGACTACACGTTCAAGAAGAACACGGAGTTCCGGTCCATGGCGCTCGGCAAATACAAGGACGAGGCAAAGTTCACGTACGTCAACAACTGCCCAAAGGACAAGGAAAACGCAGTGGTGAATGAGACGAGTGTCTTCGTGACCTGGGAAAATGACGATGAATCAAGCGGTCTGTCGTCGAATTGGACTAACACTCTTCCATGATGCCTCACGCAGTAACAAGGCTACTGGATGGTACTGGCAAAATCATCATCTTGAGCAAGCAGAAAATCTTCACTACTTTTTTTTTTTACAAATATAACAAAATAAAAAGCAACTGTGTCTTGCGAAACTCCATTCATCAGTAATTGTGCTGTGTAACCTACCAACACCTTACTTTAGACGAACCTTTTCGCCACAAGAATGAATCAAACCGTGATCGTCAGTCTGTTAACAGACAGCAGTAGTAAATTATACAAACCCTAATTTTTCAGGACTTGTGAGAATCATGGATTACTGTATCCCGTTGAGTTCCTCCTTCACATATCCGTGTAAGATAAAAACAAATAATGAAGAGCGGGAACATGCGAAGCAGAATTTATGTATATATTCTCGTATCGGGACTAAATCCGGTGCATTATAATCGATTGCCTGAAGTATTGTCGTAGCGTTGCATTTTCAGTTAGAGACCTCAAGTGGTTCTCATTTAAAACACTAGTCTCGAGTGTTTGGTTGGCAGTTGTGCCATTCTTGACGACTCCAAACTCTTGATTGCATTCGCCGCGCGTCGACCGTCTTTCAAGATGAAAGACGGTCGACGCGCATAGTTATCATCTTTCCGAACATAAACGACCGAATTGCTTGTGGGGTATCCAACGTGTGAGTGCCAATGGCGTCTGCAACATCCGAGATGTAGAAGTACTTGCCTCCAGTCCGGCACGTGTCTGTCTCGTAAAATATAAGCAAAGTGACCCCGGGGGATGTCGTTCCAGGCGATTGATGTCGCCGGTTGCCAGTGAGGGCAACTTGTGAACGACATGCAATCGTAGACGTCG